AGTTGCCCAAACTGATCTCAAGCATTTTTTTCCAAGCTTGTTATTCCAACATCAAAGCAGTGTTTTTTGCCTCAAATGAGAAAAATTTTGTCCTTTGATTTATTGAGATCTGTGCTGTAGTGAGTTAGCTTTCCTTTGCTGTGACAGAATAATTGAGATATAAAACTTAAAAGGAAAAGCTGTTTCTTTTGGCTCACAGTTTCAGAGGTTACATTCCACAGTTGGTTGACTGGTTGGCTCCCTAGCTTTTGTATCCTTGGCAAGATAGGACACCATGGTGGGTAGCCTTTGGTGAAACAAAGCTGCTTACCTCATGGTAGCTGGAAAGTAAAAAGAGAGGAGGAGCCAGAGTTTCAAGATCCCATTCAAAGCCTTGTCCCCAGTGACATAACTTCCTTCCACTGGGCCCCACCTCCTAAAAGCTCCCCCACCTCCCAGTAGTGCCAAACCTTTAGCATATGAGCCCTGGGGGACATTTAAGGTCCAAACTGCAACACCTAAACTAAAACAAATAAAAAAATGGTTAAATTAGAAATGACATTGAGGTTTTTTGTTTTTTCCTTCTGAATTGTGGATTGAGCCCAAGGCCTAGCATATGCTAGGCCAGTGCTCTACCACTGAACTACATCCTCAGCCATTTTTTAAAATTAATTTTGAGACAGGGTCTCACTGTGTTGCCCAAGCCAACCTTGAATTTATAGTCCTCCTGCCTTGTCCTCCTGAGGAGCAAGATTTACAGGCATGTGCCACTGTGTGCAGCTGACACTGAGAATTCTTATTGGAATTGTAGCATTACCACTAAAACCACTAGTATGGAATAGTGCTACAAGTCTCAAGTTTCATTTATATCATTTAATGGTTGTGTGACCAAGACAAATAATTTAAATTTAATTATAAGATACTTATAACTGCTAGGCACAGTGATGTATACCTGTTATCCCAGAGGCTCAGGAAAATGAGGCAGGAGGATCGTGAGTTCAAAGCAGCTTCAGCAAAAGCAGGGTGCTAAGCAACTCAGTGAGACCCTGTCTGTAAATGAAATACAAAATAGGGCTGGGGATATGGTTTTAAGTGTTCTTGCTGTTTTGGATAGAGTCATGTAATAGGGTGGTCGAGTGCTCCTGGGTTCAATCCCCAGTACCCCTCCCCCCAAAAAAGAAAAAGAAAAAAGGGGCTGGGGATGTGGCTCAAGTGCTCGCCTGGCATGCGTGCGGCCCGGGTTCCATCCTCAGCACCACATACAAACAAAGATGTGTCTGCCGAAAACTAAAAAATAAATATTAAGAAAAAATTCTCTCTCTCTCTCTCTCTCTCTCTCTCTCTCTCTTTAAAAAAAAAAAGATACTGATAACTGCTGGACATCGTGGTGCATGCATGTAGTCCCTTTGGCTCGGGAGGCTGAGATGGGAGATTGTGAGTGTGAAGCCAGCCTTAGCAACTTAGTGAGGCCCTAAGCAACTCTGCAAGACCCTGTCTCAATAAAAAATAAAAATAAAAAGGGATAGGAATGTGGCTCAGAGGTTAAGTATCCCTGGATTCAATCCCTGGTAGCAAAACAACAACAACAAAAAGGTACTTACAACATTAAATATTTATTTTTCAGCAATAATTGTAGAGAATGTGCTGTTGAAATAGTAAAGTTTAATTGCAGTTAACTGAATCACTGTACATACTGAATTAAGTGTTAGTAACATTGTGAAAGGTGGAGGAAGTTATGGTCTTCCTACCCCAACTAAGCCGCCCCCCAATTAGGAAGCTGCTCCTGCTGTGAGTATCCAGGTGTTGCCATTGTGGCTGGGAACATGAAACCTAGCCCGCATAAGAGTCTACTAGAGCTTTCTTTGTGAGCTGTTGCAAGAAAGGTAGCCTCTGCCTTTCATATCTTGTGTATGTGCCTTACTGTAGAATCTCATCCATAACCTGATCACAAGGGTGTCTGGAAAATATGGGTTTTAGAATTCCAGCTGTGTTTGTCTGTCTGTCTATATATACATATATCAAGGGCCCGTTCATCATGAGCACAAGACAGGATAAGAGAGGGTAAGGCCCGTAGCACAGCAGACTTGAAGTGCTTTGAATGATGTCAGAGTATTTCAGATAGATTTTAAAAGCTTCTCAGAATGAGAAGCAGTGGCGTTGGGGTTAGGAGCATAGCCTGGAATTAGAAGGCCCAGTTCTGTTTTTGCTAATTCCCTAATTGGGAAAGCCGTTTAGCTTTTCTGTAAGATAGTGCTCAGGTACTTAGGTGCGTAGATGTATACATACACGTAAAACTTTCTGCTGGTGCCTTGTGTATCTTAGTAGCTGGGAACTATTGCTACTTTTATGATTATTCATCATCATTGTTATTCTATGAAAGTAAGTGGACATCTCTTTGGAAACAAAATTACACTAACAAACATGAACAATAAATAGTTACAAAGTCATTTTCTGAAAGTGGGTAGCACCCACCCTTTTCCCTGTGATCCCAAGAAATGCCTTGAGATTCACAAAGAATTCAACATGTATCCAGTATTCACTAAAAGATATTTGAATGAATAAACAAAACAAAAAAAAAACCTGTTTTAACCTCAGTCTTAGAATATTTAAAATAATGTACAAGATATTTTTGAAAAACATACATTTGTGTTCGTCAGCTTTTTGTCACTGTGACTAAAATACTTGACAAAAATAACTTAGAGGAGAAGACGTTACATCTTGGGCTCACAATTTCAGAGGTTCAGTCCATGGTCAGCCTGTTACATTGGTCTGAAGCTGAGGTAAGAAAGAACTTCAGGGTGGAAAGTTGTGGCAGAGGAGTTAATTCATGGCAGTTGGGAAGCAGAGAGAGACAGAGAGACCATTCAGATTACTAATCCATCAAATGAATTGATTTCACCTCTGAACATTCCTGCACTGTTGAACACAGGAATCGTGGGGCGAGGAGCAACTCCTCTTCAGTCCTTCCACTGCCTGGAACTGGAATCCCAGATAGTGGTTCCTCTCCTGTCCCTTTTCTTCATTGCTAAGCAGCAGAAGTTGGTTTCTGCCCACCAGATATCTCTACCAAAACTTCTGGCCAAAGCTACTAGTCTGGAACTTAGCTAGGGAGTGAAGGGAAGCTAAAACTGTGGCCTGAGTCCTTCTCCAACCATTCTGTGCTACCTGCTTTTAGTCTCTAACGTCCCTCAGTATGACAACTCCTCTACCTTTACTGTGTGCCAGTGTATTCCCATCTCAGGGACCTCATTGTCCTCTCAGTGTAGCCTTAAGGAGATGGTGACGCTTGGCCTCAGAATAACAATTCTCTGTTAGGAGGTTGGAACGTGTTCCTCCCTTCTAACTACAGACAGTTATGTCACTGGTTACCTCAGTTTATCCAAGGCTGAGAGAGGAAGTCCTACCTCGTGCTAGCCTGCAGTCCTTTTTCTGTCTGGAGATTTGATAACCATTCTGGTATCTAGATGAGACTCTTAAGTTTTTTCCTGATGTTTATGTATTCAAAACAAAAAGTATTGTTTTGTGTTGCTAATAAAAATTTTCTGTGAGGAAATAGTTCTTTCAACAATTTGAGTTAATACCTTAAACATTATTGTGCAGTGTTTAGACAGCGATTGAGTGAAATTATCCTTTCATTACAAAGAAATGAGATCATTAGTACTGTGATTTTACTAGAGGAGTTAGTCCTATTACCCCGTTTGATGTGAGTTGACATAGGTTGGGGACAACTTTCTTGTTTTTTCTGTTGGACATGCATGTGAATGATAGCCAAAGAAAAGTCTTTAAATAAAATTTGGTTGCTTCTATTCATTCTTTCACTCGGCCAGTATTTTATTGGAAGAGGACACTACCAAAACGGACAAATTACTTAAATGACAAATTTCTAATTGTGAGGGATATCCACATTGTGGATATTTTCTGTTCTGGGAACTAATTATGAAAGAGATGGTATCAGGCAGGGCAAATGCTCAGGATTCTTTCTGACTCTGCTCAGCTCTATTTAAGGCAATTCATCTACTTTGATTCATCTTTTATTTATTTCGTAGTCACTTTAGTGTTCTACTAGTCCATAGAAAGTTGTTAATTTTAGAGTTTTGTATGATCTTTTTAGCCATGAAAATCTTTTACAGAATGAGGCTTACGCTTTTTAACTATTTTTGTTAATTTATTTAACAGATTAGATTGGCACCAACCTCAGATCCAAGGACTGGAAGCATAGTAAACTCCAGTTCTGTTTTCTTTTTTTGTTGGTCTTACCCTTGAACTCTGAGGAGTTGGGGTGGAGCTCACATGGTCTGGCCACGTGTGTTCTGAACAGGGCTCCAACAATGTTAGGCATAGCGTTATGCATTCATTTCACCTCCACTGAGACTTGATTTTTATAGACTTACATTTTAGTTTAATTTAATCTCAGGAAGGAAAGGAAGATTTTAAGTTTGTGGACATGGGAATTAGTTTTCAGAATGTTCTGTTATTAACTCCAATCCAAGAGGGAAACTACTTAAGGTGGATGACTTCCTATAATCTACCTGTTGGTTTCTTTCTTTCTTTTTTGGTAGTGTTTCTGGTTTATCATCTTTTCTTTGAATTTGTTTCATTTTGATTCTCAAAAATATGGAGAGACTGGAATCTTAATTTTGGAATTATTTTTCTTGTATGAAACAGGAATTATATTGGTTCTTATGGCATTTCCCCCTAACATTGTTAGCAGAGGGGAAGGGAGTAGAACAGTCTCTTGGATATTATTATTAGGAAGAGAAAACATTTAATGTCAGAGTTGTGTAGTCAGTTATTCAAAACCTTGAATGTAAGTCAACCCTCAAAGTGATGTGACTTTTAACTGATTAATAAGAGTTATGTTGAAATAAACTTAGAAAATTGATGCCTTTCCTGATAGATCAGTTAATTAAATATAACTGATTCACCATTCTCAGGTGTTCTTGCAACACGAAAAGGGAAGTTGTGAAATTTGTTTTTAAGGTAACTCAGTTAAATATACATATTTCACCATTTGTTGGCAGGATTTTGTGTCATTGTATCAGGATTTTGAAAACTTCTATACAAGGAACCTCTACATGAGGATAAGAGACAACTGGAATCGACCAATCTGCAGTGTGCCTGGAGCCAAGGTGGACATCATGGAGAGACAGTCTCATGACTACAACTGGTCATTCAAGTGAGTCTCGGTGGGAAATTACTTCTTAGCAATAAAAGAATTTCTTCATTAGAGAAAATATTGCAAATTGAGTATTCGCTCAAAACAGGAGTAGTAGCTGAGGATATAATCAATACCAAGATTTCTTTCCTTGCATTTTGTTTGTTGTTAATTGGATTAGGGAGGGGGTAGGGGTAGGAGTAGGGGGATCAAACCATATATATATATAGAAAGAGAGAGAGCATGCTAGGCAAGCACTCCACCACTGAGCTATGCCCCTAACCGTTATTGAGATTTTTTTTTTTTGGTGGGCGGTAGTGGGTGCCAAATACTGAACCCAGGGACACTCAACTACTGAGCCAGATCCACAGCCCTTTTTATATTTTGTTTAGAGACAGGGTCTGGTTGAATTGCTTAGGGCCTTGCTAAGTTGCTGGGGCTGGCCTTGAACTCACGATCCTCCTGCCTCAGCCTCCTGAGCTGCTGTGATTACAGGCATGCGCCACTGCACCCAGCTTTATTGAGATTTTTTAAATTATTTTTTAAATTACATTTGATTCTGTGGTGGGTTATAGTTGAGAAAAAAAGTTTTGTCTTTTTTTTTTTTTTTTTAAGACTATCCATCATTCCACTTATTAGAATTGAGTAAAGGATCTGAATTTATTTGTGGATGTTTTGATTTCTCTGATGATTTAAGGATAAATGAAGTATTTTTACTTAAATGGATTAACTAGTTTAAAAAACTATATTTTAACATTTTGAAAATTGTGTAGATTGCACAAATATTCCATAATTGCTTTCCTATTAAAAAGGAAAATACAATACCTATAATCCCATCTACTTGGGAGGCCAAGGCAGGAGGATTGCAAGTTCAAGGCCAGCCTTGGAAACTTATCAAGACCCTGTCTCAAAAGAACAAGGGCTGAGGGTGTAGTTTAACAATAAAGTGTCTCTGGGTTCAAACCCCAGTACTGGGGGGGAAATAGATTATACAGAAAGTTCCCCATGAAAACTAAACCCTGTCCTCTGTAAATTCACTACCCGACAAATCCTCCTTTACTGAGATGACCATTGTCATCATTTTATTTTGTGTTATTCCTCTAGATGTTTTCTGTGAGGTATGTGTGTAGTGTATCTACTGGGGTTATACACAGGTAACTTTTTGATATGCAAAAGTGAGATTGTACTAAATAAATTATTCTACCACCGTTTGCTACTTTTTTTTTCCTCCTCTACTGGGGGATGAATCCAGTACCTTTTACATGCTAAGTAAGCGCTCTACTACTGAGCTGCATCCCTAGCCCTACAGTTTGCCTTTTTAATTTGCTAATGTATTAATAATGTCTTACTTGTACATTCACAGCAGGTTTCTTATTTATCGTGGCTACCTAAATGTGCCATGCTATAGCAGGTTGGGCTGGGTCATCCCAATTGCCCCGAGTGTTAAAGTAACAACACTTTATTTCTTACCTACTTTTCCTGTCTACCTTAGGTTGATAGAGTCTCTGAATCAGTCATCTTTCCTTGGGGGCTCAGGCTGACTGAGCTTCTACCACATGAAATGACACAGGTCCCTGTGCCTAGGGAAGGGACATGGCAAATTATTTTGCAGTGGCTCTTATAGATCCTCTTGTGCATATGCTCATGTGTGAGAATTGCTTGAGTCAAGGAATATGCACATCTTTCAGTGGATAAGTGTTGACAAAGTGCCATCCAAAGAAAGTATTCTTACTTAGTTTGTGATACTGTTCTAGCCATCAGTTTTTAAATCTTCATCACTAGTCATAAGTGAAAATTGGTATTTGATTGTACCTTCCATTTCCTTGGTTGGGTACTGAGTTTGAGCTTCTTTTCGTACAGAACACGTTTTCTCTACATCCCTATGGTGTTTCCTTTCATGTTACATTGCACTTATTATCACACTTAAGTATTGTATTTGCTCCTGAGTTTATTAAGTTTTATGTGTTTATTGAAACACAGGTATACAGGGAATATAATTAAAGGTGTTATAAATATGGGTTCCTACAACTATCTTGGATTTGCACGAAACACTGGATCATGTCAAGAAGCAGCTGCCAGGGTCCTAGAGGAGTATGGCGTTGGAGTGTGCAGTACTCGGCAGGAAATTGGTAAGTGTAAGTTATGTTTGGTTAGCTGCTGCTGCTTTTGACTTCTTTAACTCAGGAATGAATACTGATGATACAGAGTTGCTTTTTAAAAGAGCTAGGGTATTAAAATTCATACATTCGCTTTGCCATGCATTTTAGATCAGGTAAAAAATGCTTTCTTTTTCTGAAGGGTTGGATCATTTTTATGTTTGTAACACACTTTGAGATGTTTTTCCAATATGTTATACATACAGAATGTCCCTAGTAAAGTTCCATAAGTTTTATTCCACTTATATCTTTAATGTTGATTTTATTGCCTTTTGTAAATAGCAATAGTTAGAAGTACCACTTATTAGTCCAAGGGTGTGATGAGGGTTATTCTATTTTCAAACTAGTACATTGGGCTAATAATAATTCCTGCTTTATAGATCTCTTTCAAGAATTAAATAGGCTAATTTTGGAAATAGACACTCAGTAATGTAAACTTTTTATTGTTACAAGTCTATAAAAGGTAAAAGGTTATATAGTTTTATATAAGAGATTTATTTTAGTTCAAAGGAGGATTTTAGCTTCTTCCATTTGGTTCTAGAGCACTGATAGCTACAGACGTCATAAAGCACCTTCTTCTTACTGTGCATCACCCTAATGCTTATAAATTGAGTTCTCACAGGTCTGGGGCTGGCAAGTGCAGTTGGGTGGTTTCTATCAGAGTCCCTCACACAGTTGCAGTCAGCATCGGCTTGTGGCTGGAGCTCTCTGAACGCCTCTTCATTCACATGTTTCACCTGGGCTGAGATGCCTGATACTCTGTGTCGCCGTCTCACGCTACTAGTTTGGACTTCTTTGGGGCATGGCTATCTTGGAGAATCACTTACTTTACATGGCAGTGGGCTTTGCCCTAGAGCAAGTGTTCACAGATACCTGGCTGAAAGCTGGAAGTCTTTTTATGCCCTTTGTGAGTCCAGAATATTAAATACTTTTGATCAAAGTGAGTCAGTAAAGCCAGCCCAGATTCAAGAGCTATGGAGATTAGATTTTACCTCTCAGTGCAAGCATAAAAAGGATTTGCATCCCAGTCTAATCTATCATAGCAACTCAGTCAACTCTTTAAACTTAGAATGAAGAAATGAAACTGTAAAAACAGAATCAAATGGAATCGTGTAGCTTTTCATATCATCTACTTTATTATTTAAATTGGACTTTTAAAACATATACACAAGTTGTACATCCTCAGTAATTCTAGTTTCTATTGCTAGTGAAGTTTCTTAGGCGATTTCTTTATTTGTTTGTACTATAATTTTTATTCCCAAATCTCCTAGAGTGTCATTGTCCTTGGCTAACAAACATAAGTAGCTCTTCCAGAAAATATTCAGAATTGCTTTTTAAAAAAGCAAATTCCTGGGCTGGGGATATAGCTCACTTGGGAGAGTGCTTGTCTCGCATGCACAAGGCCCTGGGTTCAATCCCCAACACCATTAAAAAAAAAAAAAGGCAAATTCCCTGAGGCAGAATAATCACAAGTTTTGAGGCCTGCCCAAATAACCTAGTAAAGCCCTGTCTCAAAAAATAAACAGGGCTGGGGACATAGCTCACTGATAGAGCACCCCTGGGTTCAGTGCCCAGTACCACATACAGACAAGCCAATTCTAGAACATGTTGAATTTTTTTTTTTAGTTTTTTTCCCCCCTAAATTTTCATAGGTTCTCTGCCTTGTATGTGTGAAATCCTAGGAGTAGGCTAATGTATGTTTTCTTAGCTACTATCAGAGTCCTTATATTCTCTTGTAGTATCTGAGCAGAAAAAGTGATGTGACTTGTTTATTTATTCGTTTATTTATTTATTTTGCAGTACTGAGGATGAACTCGGGTCTTCTACCACTGAGCTACAACCCCAATACTTTTTATTTTTTATTTTGAGATGGGGTCTCACTATGTTGCCCAGACTGACCTCAAACTTAAATTCTCCTGCCTAAGCCTTACAAGTAGCTAGAATTACAGGCCTGTGCCACCACACCCAGTTTATCTATCTTTCTGTCTATTTCCATACTGGGGATTGAACCCAGAGGCTCTTTAACCACTGATTTGCATCCCCACTCCTTTTTATTTTTTATTTTGAGACAGAGTCTCATGAAGTTGCTAAGAGTTTCGGTATAATGCTGAGGCCGCCTTAGCCTCCTGGATTGCTGGGATTACAGTGCCACTGTGCCCAGCTTATTTGATTTGTTTTTAATGATTAAAAATAAATTTTGACTTAATTCTTTTTTAAATATTTATCTTTTTAGTTGTAGTTGGACACAATACATTTATTTTATTTATTTTTATGTGGTGCTGAGGATCGAACCCAGGGCCGCACACATGCTAGGTGAGTGCACTACCACTGAGCCACAACCCCAAACCCTGGCTTAATTCTTTTTTTTTTTTAAGTATTTTTTAGTCGTAGATGGACACAACACCTTTTTTCCTTCCTTCCTTCCTTTCTTTCCTTTTCTTCTCTGGTTCTTTCTTTGTTATGTGGTACTGAGGATTGAACCCAGTGCCTTACACGTGCCAGGTAAACACTGTACCACTGAGCCACAGCCCTGGCCCCTGGCTTAATTCTTAAAGTATATGTTGACCTGCAGTATAAAAGGTTTTGACCCAAAAGCCTAAATTTGGGGGGCTGGGAGTATCGCTCAGTGGTAGAGCACTTGCCAGGCATACATGAGGTTCAATCCTGAACACCATCAACAAAATAAAAAGAAAGAACAAACCCACATGGTAAAAGTCGAAGTTTTTAAAAGCTTGCATCTAGAATAACTCAATAAATAATAAATGGTGGCCTAGTGTTTTGCATGATCTAAAACATACCTGGCAGCTGCTATATCATGAAGGTTTTTATTCCTCTAATCTTGTACCAGTTTAATGCTAGAGGAGCCTTAAAGTCTGTTAGGCAACTTCTAAGTAAGAGCCTAGAGAACTTGGAAAAACCCTATTCTTTTTCATGTAGTCTGCCAGGTTCTGTTAGATACTTCCTTAATGTAATTGTCTCTGACCTGTTTCAGTTTGGGCTAGTTGCTCTCCAAGACTATTGTACAGTTGCATTCTGGTCCTTCTTCTTCTTCTTCTTAGTTGCTCTCCAAGACTATTGTACAGTTGCATTCTGGTCGTTGTCCCCCTCCCCCTCCCCCTCCCCCCCCCCTTTCTCTCACCTCTGACTTGGATTTCTTATTTCATGAATTCTGTATCTTCCTCTTTCTTTATATCCTTCCTCATACTGGTGAAACTCATTATACAGTGCTTTCCTTGGGGTGCAGGGTAGATGATTTTTCTGAAATTGTCAAAATATATTTGGATATCAGAAGATGTCTTTGATCAACTGTATTGCTTCAGTATTAATTCTGCCACCACCACACTATGGGTTGAACATATTTTCCTTGAGAGTGTGAGGATGTTGCATCATTGTTCTCTGGGATGAGGGGTGCTGATCAGAAGTGTAATGCTGTCTGGTCACCAGTTTTGTGTATGCCATTCATTCTATCATACCTTCTATCTGAAAAGTTTATTGTTTAAAGCCTGTGTTGGGGGGTAGACAATACATAACATTGTTAATAATCCTAGAAGTACCAAAAGATGGGTAATGAAAAATCTGCTTCCTATATACATTCTCCAGCCTTCCAGTTCCCCTCCTACTGTGAGGAATGTCACTGTTGTTTGGTCTTTTTTTTTTTATTCCCCCTTTCCCTTCCTCTTACTCCCTTCCTTCATTCCTCCTGTCCTTACTCCCCCTCCCCAACAACCCCCTCCTTTCTTTCTGTGTCTTACCCTGAAAGCATCCAAGACCTTCTCTTTCCCTTGAGTACATCAAGAATTCCCATTTGGGCAGGGTGGGGAAAAAAATCCCATTTGTGCCTTGGTATGAGTCTTTCTTTTTCCCACTAATTGTGCTGATTTGATTCTTGCTGGGTTCTTAAATATTGAAGAAGCAGGTCCTTTGGTTTTGTGCCTCTTCTTCTTTGGCATTTTCTCAACTCTCACTTTCAGAAAATTTATGTATAACCCCCTAGTATTCACCCTCTAATTGTCTTCCTCTCCTGTGTTTTTCATTTTTCCTTTTGTTTCTGAGAAATTTAGTATGCGAGCCTGTCTGTATAACCTTACCTTTAGTCACCATTTTTAGCATATGCATACTTTTATATTTGGTGTCCCTGAGTTAAGAATAATTTATTTGTGGAGGTAAGAAAAGGCAAAATTACTTGCCTATTTCTATAGGGGTAGGAATGAGGCAGCGTCTATGTTCTTTTTGTTTCTTTTTTAACAGCTTTATTAAGATATAACTCACATCCTTATAAGTGTGCACCTCATTATTTTTTCAAAAAGCTGTGTAACCATCACCACACTCAATTTTTATTTCCCCTGAAAGAAACCCCATGCCCTTAAGCAGTGACTGGATATTCTCCCCTCTTTCTACCAAGTTCCTAGCAACCAATAATCTACTTTCTGTCTTTTTGGATTCACCTATTTTGGACATTTTATATAAATGAAATCCTGTAATATCATAGTCATTTGTGTCTGGCTTCTTTCACTTAATGTTTTTACAATATTTATCTTTGTTATAGCATGCATTAGTACTTTATAGCATACGTCAGTACTTCATTCCATTTTATGACCGAATAATAATCCATTATGGAGTATTCTACATATTGTTTATTCATTTATCTCCTGGTGGACGTTTGGGTTGTTTCTATTTTTGAGTGATTGTGAACAGTGTGGCCAGACACACAGGAGTACAGTTTTTATGTGACCTATGTATTCATTTCTCTTGGGTATATACTTAGGAGTGGAGTTGCTCCATCATGTGGTAACTCTACAGTTAACTTTTTGAGGAATTGCTCTTTTCCAAAGTGCTGCAACATTGTACAATTCCATCAGCAGTGAAAATTTCTGTGTTTGTAAATATCATCTTTCAAACAGTCACTTGTTGCCTTTCCTTAACCCTTGCCTTCTCTTATTCCTGTTGTCTCTAACTTTTGAGCCTCCACTGGATTCCATACAATGAATCTGCTTGATTCTCACTGAACCACGTTCACTCTGTAAGGGCATAGATATGGACCTGTCACTCTAAGTCATTTCCCACCTGTTTTGGTTTTCTAGGGCTGCCGTAACAAAGTGTGAGAAACTGGGTAACTTAAGACAGTTTATAGTTTCATCATTTTGGAGGGTAGAAGTTTGGGGTCAAGATGCCATAAGGGTCATGCACTCTCTGAGAGCCCTGGAGACTTTCTTGCTTGCTTCTGTATTGCCAACATCTTTGGCATTCCTGTCTTGGGGCCACACAGCTGTCTTCCTGAGTATCAAGCATTGTCTTCTGTCATGCCTCCTCTATGTACATCTGTTTCCATGTCCAAATTTTCCTTTCTTATAAAGATATTATGGGCTGGGGATGTGGCTCAAGTGGTAGCGCACTCACCTAGTGTGCGTGAGGCACTGGGTTCGATACTCGGCACCACATACATATAAAAATAAAGATATTGTGTCCATCTAAAACTGAAAAAAAAAAAAAAAAAGATTTTAGCACCACCCCAATAACCTTGTTTTATCTTGGTTACCCCTGTGAAGACCCTGTTTCCAAAGATCAGACTCTGAGGTTCAGGAGTTAGAACTTCAAGATATCCAGTTTTTTGTTATTTTGTTTTGGTCCTGAGGATTGAATACAGGGCCTAACACATGCTAATAAGTACATACTGTGCCACTGAGCAATACCCCAGCTTCTCAAAATATCTTTTTAGTGAACAGAGTTCAGCTATAACACCATCCTTCTGTACATTTTCCATTTTCATTAATTGTGTTGAAGATTGCAGATATTTAGTAATGAATGAAAAGTAGAATTTTATGTTTTTGTTTCTTGCTCTTCCATTTGTATTGTGATGCTTTTCAATAGGGAAATGAAAATAAAACATTTTTTTCCCTAAAAGTCACAATGACATTTATTCAGTATTGTATTTTCCTTTTGGGAGAGATGATAGGAGGAGGAAGGGACAAAAGTGTCTCATTGGCGTCCCCAATGTGTATAAACTTAGGATAATATAAGCGTAGGATGAAGTGGCCAGGCAACCAGGTGGAAGGTTCCCAATATTTTCTGACCAATTTCTATAATAAAAATGATAAGATGTATATGTGCCGAGCTCATGGTAACTAGTAAATGTCAGCTGCCATTTCTAGCTGGGTTCCCCACAGGCTAGGTTATACCTAGACATTTCATCCCTTTCCTTTCAGGGAATGAAGCTTGCCTAGAAAACTAGGAGACTTAGAGTTCAGTACAGTTTGGATAACAGCTGGCCTGGCCTGGCAGTTTCCACATGGAGGGCCATGGGCTGCAACTCTTCAGTGCACAGTCTTCTCTTTTTGACGATGATAATTGTAAGGAAAGAAGTGTGCACACTTTCTGGTTTCTCAGGTGGTCTTCAGGATCTTTTAATAGCCTTGCTGTGCTCAATATCTTGGAAATCCACCTCATTCACAGCTAGAACTTGGTCTCCTTCTTGAAGTCCTGCTCGATGTGCATCTGAGTCAGGAATCACTTTGGAGATGAAGATGCCTAGCTGGGAGGCCTTTCCTCCTCTGGGGATTTAACAGTCCCAACTGAGCTCCAGGAGGCTTTTTCAGTGTGACAGTTTGGGGCAGAAACTGGGTTAATTCATTGTCGTAGTCTGGGTGGTGTACTCTCTCATGATGAGGAATCCATGCTGGGGGATTTTCACAGGCAGGCAGGAAAACCACTGGATAGTTGTCAAGGAATTTAGCTGTCCATCTCAGGCAAGACCCACTGCTTAAATGCCAAACCACCTCACCGGCAGGAAACCCTCAGTTACCCAAGGCTCAGCTCAGGGCTAATAAAACCCAGAACCGGAATGAGTAAAACATTTTATTCTCCATCTTTAAAACAAAAAGGTGTAGTTGACATTTGAGAAATCATAGTCTGTTTGATCTAATGTAGCTAAGGAAGCATTGTATAGCAGTGATGTATAACACACAGGATTCCTTCTCCATATCTTTTTTTCTCTGCGATGCCATTCAGTTCCTAAGGGTTTGAGTACCAATGTAAAAAATCACATACAAGTTTACTAGTCAGATCAAAGAAAGAGAAGGAGCTTTTTAACCTATCTGTTGCTCCACAACAAACCAACCCAAAGCTTAGTGGTTTAAAATAACAATAGAAATTTATATGCTTGTGATCCTGCAATTTGGAAAGGGTTCAATGCTATTGAGTGGCCCATTACAACTGAGGACAGAGGGTGGCTTAACTTAAGGTGCCTGGTACCTCACCTAGGTGGTAGAAATGCTAAAAGCTAGTTTCCCCAGCTTCCCTCTGCTTTCCTTCTTCTCCTCCTTCCCCTTCTCTCTACTTCCATGGTTTCTTATTCTTCAGAGACCTCCCTCTTTCCACACGTTTTATCTCTACAACAGACCAGCTACACTGTTTTGGATGGCAGATGGGGGGAAAAAAAACAACTATTTTTTTTAAAAAATGTTTTTTTAGTTGTAGACGAACACAACACCTTTATTTTAAATCTATTTTTTTGTGGTGCTGAGGATGGAACCCGTGTCTCACACGTGCTAGGTGAGCGCTCTACCACTGAACCACAACCCCAGCCCCTCAGAAGCAAATCTTGCTATGCCTCTTAAGGCCTAGAGCTGGAGCTGGTGTGTAGAAATATAAAATTGTTTTTGCCAATTCTCTCACCAGAGATGCTGAATCTAAATGTATTTTATCTATTTTGTTCCTGATAAGCCATTACTCTTCATAATACTGACTCTTTTATAGACCATAGAAAAGGTCACAACATATAGATTGGTTTCTGTTTGAAAAGTGGTGAGTGATTCTTAAATTCAGGATTTTATGATATTGACTTTGTTAACTTCTTCACACAGGAAACCTGGACAAGCATGAAGAACTAGAGAAGCTTGTAGCAAGGTTTTTGGGAGTAGAAGCTGCTATGACATATGGCATGGGATTTGCAACAAATTCAATGAATATTCCTGCTCTTGTTAGCAAAGTAAGACACTTTGTCATTCATAAAAATTCTCTCATACGTATCTTCTTTGGTTTTCAGAAGTATTCAAAGCAAGCCAAAGTGACCATAACTTGACACTACACATCATTGTTCCAAAAATATTTCTATCGTGGAGTCTTATATCAGTTGAACCTTTCTTGTAGAACCCATGGTCCTTTACTTTTCTGTTAGATGAAGCTTACCTTCTTTTTTTTTTTTTTGTATTGGTGATTGAACTCGAGGGCACTGGATCACTGAGCCACATCCCCAGCCCTATTTTATATTTTATTTAGAGACATGGTCTCACTGAGTTGCTTAGTGCCTTACTGTTGCTGGGGCTGGCTTTTGAACTTGCAATCCTCCTGCCTCAGCCTCCTGAGCTGCTGAGATTACCCGTGTGCACATTTTATTCTCCATCTTTAAAACAAAAATGTGTAGTTGACATTTGAGAAATCACAGTTGTTTGATCTAACGTGGCGAAGGAAGCATTGAAAAGCAGTGATGTATAACACACAGGACTCCTTCTATCTTTTCTCTCTGCAATGCCATTCAGTTCCTAAAGGTTTCAGTACCAATGTAAAAATCACATACAAGTTTATCTTTCTCTTTTTTGTTTGTTTTTTTTTGTGGTGACGGGGATTGAAGTAAGGGCCTTGTGCATGCTAGCATTCTACCAACTGAGCTATATCCCCAGCCCTTACCTTCCTCTTTTTAACATACAGTTTTGAAGGGAGTCTAATAAATAAAAACTTCTGAAAGACTAAACTTATGAAAGTTTAGTTCAGAAAGTTATTTAATAGATGGATTATCCTAAATTGAAAAATATGAAAGTATATGTCATCCTAACATATAGACAAGTTATATATAAATATATATGTAGACATTTATGTATTTTTCCATCCATCCTATAGATAGAGCTTGTGAGTAGATAGTTAGAAGACAGAAAGGATAACATACTTTGTATATTGTGTTTTAGCAGACTGGCAGTCAGCTTGAAGGACCCTTGACATCATTTTAACATTGATGTCTAGGAATTGTGTATTAAAAAAGTAGTGGGTTAACTCAAATAGGAGGTTTTGCTTGTTTATTGGTTCATTGTGTGGTCATACTTAGCTGTGTGACTGTGAACGTGTCAAGTAACATTTCTGGTCCTTAAACTTTCCTTCATAAATGGATTATTCTAACTCTAATTCAGTTATACAGTTATGTGGTTCTGTAAGGTACAAATGGGACAAATAGAAACCAAGTAACAGGAGAGTTTGGGTTTAATTTACTATTGACATTATAGTAGATGTAAATAATTTATACCTTCAAGTAAAAAACATTATTATATTAGGTAAAATTAAGTAGGCTTTCTAATATAAAATGAGAGTCTATTTTAAATATAAAGACATCAAGGTCAAAGAATGGTTGGGGAAGTAGCTCAGTGTTAAGAGTACTTGTTTACCATGTGCAAGGCCCTGGGTTCTATCCCCAGCACCACCACCAAAAAAAAAAAAGAATGAAAAAAGATATATCTTGCAAACAATAATCAAAAGAAATGTGAAGTGACCACATTGCATAAACAAAGATTTTCAAACAGGTAATATTTCTGAAGATAAAGAGGATTACTGTATATGATAAGAATTAATTCTTCAAGATATATAGGTACCTAATAACAGAGCTTTGAAGTACACAAAACAAAAATTGATGAAGCTTAAAGGAGAAGTATACAAGTGTAGAACTCTAATTAGATATCCACACCCCTCTATCAATCAATAGAACTAAACATAAAATCCATATGGATATAGAACACTTAGAAAATACTTTCAACCAGCTGACCTGATTGACACTACTCAGACACTTCACCCAACAACAGCAAAACATTTACCGAGAGTGAGACCCTAAGTAACCTAGTGAGACCCTGTCTCCAAAAAATAAATAAATAAATAAAATAAACAAAACCCATACTTCAGACCATTAAACAAGTTTTTGTTCTCTGACCACGGTGAAATTAGGAGTCAGTAACACAAAGATATCTGGAATATCCTTAAATATTTGAAACTTAAACCACACATTTCTGGATTATCCATGAGCCAAAGAATAAAAAATAAGGGAAGCTAGAAAACATTTTCAATTAAATGGAAATTAATATCACAATTTGTTGGGTAAAGGTAAAGCAGTGCTCAGATGGGAATGTAGAGTGTCAAAAGAAAATGTTTTTGTTCATTTGTGGGGGTTTTTGTTTTTTGTTTTATGTTTTACACTGGGGATAGAACCCAGGGTGCTTAACCACTGAAACACATCCCCAGTCCTTTTTATTTTAATTTTTTTTTTTTTTAAGACAGGGTCTCACTAGGTTGCTTGGGGTCTCACTAAGTTGCTGAGGCCAGCTTTGAACCTGCAATCATCTTGCCCCAGCCTCCTGAGCCACTGGGATTACAGGTGTGCGCCACTGTACCCAGCTAGAAAACTTTCTATCTTAAGAAACTAGAAAAGAGCAAACGAAACCCAAACTAAGCAGAAGGAAGTATGCAATAAAGATAAATGCAAAAATCAGTGAATTAGATACTAGGAAATCAGTGAAACCAAAACTGCCTCTTGAGAAAGTAAATAAAATTGGTAAATGTCTGGCCAACTGATCAGGATGAGAAGACACAAAAGACCAATAGCAGGAGCAAGTGAAGGTGTCGCTCACTGCCTCCAGAAGTCAAGGGTAATGAGGGAATATGAGAACAACTTTACGCTAGTGAATCTAACAACTTGGATTAAACATACAGATTCCCTCAAAAACACAGTGTGTGGTTCTTTGACGTCACATTGATTATAAGGCATTACTGTCCTTTATTTAGGAATTAGAATTTTTATACTTAGAACATTAGATAACTTTATTTTCTCCCTGTATGAACACAAACTCTAGCAAATTCCTATCTAATAGATTTCTTCTCTATTTACATGGGAATGTACTACCTTAAAGATTTGTCTTCTGAATCTCAAAACATTGTAGTTGAAATGTTACTAAATATCCTTTAACCTGTTAAGGGCAGCAACTGTCTACTTCTCCTAATTCTTTGAATCTGGTACTGAATTTCTCTGTGAGATGGTTGATTGTTCATCTTCGATGCAGGGAGGGCAGTTTGTTGATAAACACAATGTTCTGGAAGCAGGAGCTTTTTATCGAATGTGCATTTTGATGACCTTGAGCAAGAGAGTTATCCTGACTCAGTTTCCTCTATGTAAAGTGAAGATGATAATAGTACCTTCTTCATAACGATTGTTATGGCAATTAAAAGTATTAATGCATCTAAATCTCTGAACATGTTGCCTGAAATATATTATGCACTTAGATGTCAACTGCTGATATTTAATATTTATTTCATTTTTTTAAACCAAGGATATAATAGTAGGATATAATCTACTAGGACTCCTAGTAGATTAGGAGGGGAAAAAATCAGATTGAATCATACAGATGGTAAACAATGTTATCTAAAAATAGATTATAAACAAAAAGGCCATAATGATACTGCATATTTTTCCAGATAAAGAAATTAGCTGGAGAGAGACGAAAATAAAAGAATGTACATAACTAACTGCATTCAGTTATTGTAGCTCCTCAGTCCTTTCCAATCTGTGACAATCCTGTCTTTCCTTGTAGACTGTCTCAGTTTCGGTGTGTCTGCTCTGTCTCATGATCGACTGAAGCAGTGTATTAAGAACACCATGTGCCCTGTAGGGTGCACAGTATTGGTGTATGTTACTGGGCAATTCGCCTTTCACCTACTAATTTTAGTATTCATCTGTGGATCTCAACTACGGCAGTTATTACTTTGATGTTCTTACATTAAATTTTCTACTTTTCTCCTTCAATACTCATTTGAATTGTGTGTAAGGAAGAATTGTCCCCTTTGTATTTATATCACTATGTATTTGTGACTTTTTCATTATTTGGGTAATAATCCAATATGATTGCTTCTTTTTGTTACCTGAATTATTTTAGTTTTGGGCATTGGGAACTCATTCAGGAAGGCTCTTGTGTCTTTAGAATATGCAACAACTTTTTCATTTTTTAAAAGTACTTTCTTGCTTTCTGGCATATTAAGATGATCCAGGCTTAGCCAGATGCAGGAGTGCACACCTGTAATCCCAGCAACTTGGGAGGCTGAGGTAGGAGGATTGAGAGTTCAAAGCCAGCTTCAGCAACTTAGCAAGGCCCTGTCTCTCAATAAAATATAAAAAGGGCTGGGGGTGGTTGTGGCTCAGTCGTAGAGCACTTACCTAGAATGCGTGAGGCACTGGATTCAATCTCTGGCACCACATAAAAATAAACAAATAAAATAAAGGTATTATGTCCATCTATAACTAAAAAAAAAATTTTAAAGGGGAGGTATGGGGGTATGGCTCAGTGGTTGAGAACCCCTAGGTTCAATCTCCAGTACAAAAAAAAAAAAAAAAGATGTTCCAGGCTCAGCTTTGTTCCTTATCCTAGCTTTCGGATCAACCAGAGAATTGTATTTAGAAGACAGGATCTGGGAACCAGGTGTGTTTATTGCTATGGGATTTTACTGCTTCTCAGGCCTTAGTGGATACAGATAGAACATGCATATGTGTATACTAACTCATGCATACAAACACAGCTGTGTGTATGTACACATATGTATATAATAAATGTGAATTTTTAAAATCAGAGGAGTTTGTATCCATACCTCTAAACCTGCCTTTTATTTGGTACCAGGGATCAAACCCAGGGGTGCTTTTCCACAGAGCCACATCCCCAGCCCTTTTTTATTTTGATATAGGTAGCTTTTATTTAAGTAATAAAAAACTAGCACACAGTAAAAAATTCAGATACCTGCTATTACAATTTTCCTAAATATCTGTCCAAGAATATCCTGTAATAAATAGGCATATGCTAATCCATCTTCTTCCTTTTATTCTTATGGGAGCATATTGTAGACTGTCTGTACCTTATATTATTTTATCTAATCTGATTTTTTTTGAGATAAAAAAGGTTTATTGCTTTTCTAGCAAAGGAGAAATACAGGGGATTCCTGTCCCAAAGGTTGTAATTCTGCCATCTGCAGGAAAAGGGGGTTTTTAAAGAGGCGATTCAGAGAAAATGATATCTAATCGGATATTTTAAAGCTGTTTTTTGACAGAGAAAAAAATCTGTGCATTAAGAACACCATGTGCCCTTATAGTGGAAGGACTCCAGGAGAGATGGCCTAGTATAAATTAGGGAAGAAATAAAAAACCAAGAGCATCAACCTTTTCCTGTTGCTGTAGCATGAACCATATTTACATGTGAAAGTAAAGTTTTTCCAGAGATTTTACACACCATGGGATATAGGGTTTATAAGTGAGATCCTTCCTGAATTCCGAATGATATGGTTAGTAGAGAGAAACAGTGCCCCATTTCTACAGGCTTAACTCTGAGATGCCATTTCCTACAAGTAAACAGTACAGCATATCAAAATTCAGTTGAAATATTCTCAAATCAATAGCACATGCCTGTAATCCCAGCTGCTCAGGAGGCTGAGACAGGAGGATTGTGAGTTCAAAATCAGCCTCAGCAAAAAGCAAGGCGTTAAGCAACTCAGTAAGACCCTGTTTCTAAATAAAATACAAAATAGATGTGGCTCAGTGGTTGAGTGCCCTGATCTCAATCCCTGGTACAGAGAGAGAGAGAATATTCTCAAATCAGAGAAAACCAAATCTTTTAAAGATGGTCTTATTCATATGCTAAAATCTTATGATTTTAGATATGAATAAGAACCTCTTGCTGTGTATCTGAATGTTTAGGTCCATCACAGAATGAAGGTATTAAATAGGCTAGGATTTTGCATCGATTTCTAAGGTATCTCTGCAAAAACAAATACACTTTTTAAAAAATCGATCACTTTGCTGTTGTGTAGGGTTTCCTTAATAGGGTTTAATTATTAGTGACTGTAGCCTTTTGTAATTTGCATAATTAACACTTTCCCCTCCATCATCTTACCTTCCTATGCTTGTGGTTTTGCAGGGTTGCTTAATTCTGAGCGATGAGCTAAACCACGCATCGCTGGTTCTAGGAGCCAGACTGTCGGGGGCAACCATTCGAATCTTCAAGCACAACAGTGAGTTTTGTCATAGAATTCACTATATGCTTTAGGTTTAATATTCTTTGTGTCAATGGTAACATTACTTCTATTAATAATAGAAAACATAAATGAAGCTAAATAGAAAATTTAAAATGTTCTTCTCCTGTTTTTTAAAAGTTGTGCACTTCCTCATTGGAGTAAAAACACAGATCTTTTATGCAAAATATGATAGTCTCCTTTTAATTGACTTTCAGGTTTTCCATTCCATCTTCTTGTTTGCAAATCTCTTGTTAAAAAGTATACATAATAGATGCCTGAAGGGTATTGAGATAATAAGTCAGGATTCTTGATCTGTAGGATCTCTGGTTAATAAAGATTTAACAGTTAAACCAGCATCTACAATACAATAGGCAAGTACGGAGATCTGGATATGTACAGATACTGTAGGACCTCAGAGAAAAGTGCCAGAAAGCAAAAACCTGCTCTCCAAGTGGAAATATCTGTGTACTATTAAATAATACACAATACAACATAATTTTCATAGTTAAAATACACACAGTGAGAAAAAGATTACTGCACCATATGTTTAACATCTTTTGCCAAAATGTGTGTATGTACAGATCAAAAGTCTAGAATAGTATATTCCAAAATGTTCTTTACCTCTGGAGAAAAGGATTATGGGTCTTAATGACTTTCTTCTGTTTTTCTTGCCTAAAATGTATTTTGTTTTATCAAATGAAACCTAAGGTGTAACCTGCAATTTCCTTTTTTTAACAATGTGAACATAGATTGTTAGTAGCTATGACTACATCCTCCTTTAATGCCAGTTTGGCAATTATTTCTGATTTTGCCATAAGTGAATCCGCCCCTCAGTATGAACCTCAGATTGTTTCTAAACTTTTCTATTAGAAACTGCACTTCACTCCCATTTTTGTACAATCATCTGATTAGTGCCTAGCAGTCTCAGAATGCTTGAGTAAGAGAGTGTAAATTTTTAATCCTTTTCCAAATTGCTTTTAAGCATTATACAAATAACTCTTTCTAATCATTGGACAACATAGGTTATTATGAATCATTTTAAATCTTTTTGAATCTAATTAGTAAATAAATAATACATTGATTTTTATTTCTTTGATTATTAAGTGTAAAGCAACTTTTTATATAGTTATTTTATATACTTATTTACTGGTGTTACTTTATAAATTGGCCACTTTCAAACTGTTTATCTTTTCCTCTGATTGTAAGAGCCCTTTATATATAAATTTGCACCATTTTTTAATTTATTTTTGACTCTTTTTTTGTGTGTCTTGCTATGCAGACACAAAATTATTTTGTCATGCTTGTTGGGACTGTTGGATTTTACTTAATGTCTTCCTCATTTCAAACATTAAGTTGTACTTTTCTGGGAGTTTTACTATATATTTCAACCTAAATTTCCGTGAAATTTGAGGAAATATATAGTAAAATTTGAGGAAATAGGGGAAAGAGATTAAATGTTTTTTTCCCAAATAGATAATATGATTAAGCATTTTGTTATAGATATTTCTTCTTGTCTAAAACTTAGAATCAATATTTATTTTCCTCTTCCTTTCTGTCTATAAACATAAGAAACTCAAATAACAAGTATACACTTGTCTCTGGCTGATTGCCACACATTGCTATCTGCAGAACTATAGACTTCAAATTAGGACAGATTGGGCTGGGGTTGAGACACAGTGGTAGAGCACTTGTCTAGCATGTGTGAGGTGCTGGGTTGGATTCTAAGCACTGCATATAAATAAAATAAAGGTCCATTGACAACTAAAAATATGTTTTTAAAAATTAGGGCAAATATACTCCTGTACAGAGCATCTTCTGTCTTAGGAAGGGTGCAAACTGCTTTATTGCAAATAGCTGAAAGTTTAAGCACAATCTCAGCCTCTGGTTATCATATTTGTGTTTGTGTTTTGTGTTTTTATTCCTTTATTTCTCCTTATCACAGTTCTTTTATGAAAAGAGCAAACATGTAATTTTGTAAACCCCTTCTCCAGTGATGAGCAATAAAAAATGCAAATTCATATTTTATGGTGAGGTGTCTCCTGCTACTATTAAATATCCCCCAGAATTGGGGATTAGATTTGGGGGAATTTTTTAAAAAATATTTTTTAGTTGTTGATGGACCTTTATTTATTTTTTATTTTTTAAATTCTTTTAAAAGAGCGAGAGAGAGAGAATTTTTTAATATTTATTTTTCAGTTTTCGGCAGACCCAACATCTTTGTTTGTATGTGGTGCTGAGGATTGAACCCGGGCGGCACGCACGCCAGGCGAGCGCCCTACCGCTTGAGCCACATCCCCAGCCCCTGGACCTTTATTTTATTTATTTGTATGTGGTGCTGAGAATCAAAACCCAGTGCCTCACGCATGCTAGGCAAGTGCGCTACCACTGAGCAACAACCCCAGCCCCTGGGGGAATTTTTTAAGATTCATTTCAGAGCAAATATTTTAAATATGGAGGTCATAATGGTGGCAACAGTCTTCAAAGCATTTGTCTTTAATAGGAACTTTACCATATGATCCTCATAATGGTAATACCAGGTCGTGTCCTAGGCGGATTAACCACCTTAAGCACTAGCAGAGCCACAGAACTTGGTTATGTATGAATGGCTGAGGAAGTTGAATAGGGAACAGTCTCAACTGCTTGCCAAGCTCGCTTAAAACATAGACACAAGCACCCAGATTGGTGTATTTTAAACCCGGTACCAAGATTAGGCTATTAAGGCTATTTAACAAGCACTTATTGAGTACATCCCAGGTGGAAGGAAGTAGAGACTACACTTTGAAGTATAGGTATACATATTTGTGATGATTTGTTCACACACTTTTTATTTGGTACTGGTGCACATTAGGCCAAGCACTGTCACTGAGCTACATTCCCAGCCCTTTGTTCACACTCTTGTTCAGTCTTCTTTATGCTCTTCTTTATGAATGACTCACTAGGATTAGAGATATACTTTGATTCTACAAACACAGAAAAGCTAACTTGAAGGCAAAGTATTTAAGATGAAGCATTGGTCATTTCATAAAGCATGGTAAGCAACTGAAGCAGACAGTACCCACAGTTATTTAATCATGTTGATGGTTTTGAATATTTGTCATATTTAGGTTTCAGTTAAAGGTGGCAATAGTTCACCATTTTGCCCTAGTCTTATTTTGCTTGACTCTATTTTTGTTCGTGTTCTTTGCTATTCAAGACACACTTCCTGAATGAGTAAGAAATGTGTATTTGAATTTTTGGAAGAAAGTTAGGAAAAAGGAAGATTGTCTATGACTCAATTCTTTTTCATGTACTTGTAGATATGCAAAGCCTAGAGAAGCTATTAAAAGATGCCATTGTTTATGGTCAGCCTCGGACACGAAGGCCCTGGAAGAAAATTCTAATTCTTGTGGAAGGAATATATAGGTAATCCTACTTCACTGTCCTGATCTTTGTGACTTGGGTCCATGAAGTTCTAGAATTGTTAAGCTGAAGGAGGGAATGCTACATTGCACCCTCTGGAAACTAAAGAAACAGTATCATGACTTGTTGAAAACCCTGGAAGCAAAGTCAGCACTGGAATAGAAGGCTTTTTGTGTGTACACTACACAGTCTCCTAATGCCCATTCTCTTTGGGTCCTGTATTTTTCTCTTGGCAAGGGAACTCACACATATGGGCAAGAATATGGATTCTAATATGTCAAACCAAATTACATACCACTTAATTTTAAGAAATATTTTTCTTCGATTAATGTTGCTAGTCCTTATTCTTTGATCTCCTAATTTTTTACTCTTTTGTGTAATTTTAATTGTGTATGCAATGTAATACAAAAGTCTAATGTTGCCTGTAAGTACAAGGCTTTAGAAGACTCTGCTGTGACCTTAATTCTTTCTGTCATGTATTAGGATCTATTGTATTCTGGCACTTGTCTTAAAAGATCTAATCTCCTTTCCTCTAGATTTCTGCCAAGCCATGGCACCAACTAACCCTGTCGATTTAAAACCACAGGTGGAGTCGTTAGATGATTTAAAAAGAAATAAACTCACAATATGAATAATAAAGCAACAATTTCTAATTTTGAGAGGTTAAAAAGTCTCAATGTATATATTTTTTTAATCCTGTTTTGCCAGCATGGAGGGGTCTATTGTTCGCCTTCCTGAAGTGATTGCCCTCAAGAAGAAATACAAGGCATACTTGTATCTGGATGAGGCTCACAGCATCGGCGCCCTGGGCCCTAAAGGTCGAGGTGTGGTAGACTACTTTGGCTTGAATCCTGAGGATGTGGATGTCATGATGGGAACGTTCACAAAGAGCTTTGGTGCTTCTGGAGGATACATTGGAGGCAAGAAGGTGAATGGGCCATTAAAGATGAAAACAGGACGCCTGAACTTGGCAGTGTTTAGCAGATGAGTCCTGAACTGGGGTGTGGAGATCCTGAGTTTGTTTGTGGCTTAGCTCCTAGTGCCAGTGGGCTTCCCGCTTCAGCTGCCCGGAGAGTGACGCTGATGTCTCCTCACTGAGCTAAAGGCTGGTTCTGTTCATTGTTGGTTGTTTTCTTATTTGAGCTTCTTTCTAAACTACGTTCTGGTTTGAGATATAGAATACCCTCTTTTGTGAGAGGACACACAGTGCTGCTTCCTGTTGCCAGTCTGCTGCTGGGTTTCGAAAGTAGTGTTGTTGTCATGGGAGCTAGTGGGAACAGAAGCTCGGTTTCCCGGCCCTTGGACTCAAATGTATCAAGGGTGAACATAGAAAGAGGAAGAAAAAGCATTTGCTAGCTCTAGGGTGCTACAGAACATTGTATCTTTCAATTCTGAAATTATATAGTGAACTTTGAGGTAACTAAAAACCAATGTGGGACTGGGGATGTGGCTCAAGTGATAGTGCGTTCGCCTGGCATGAGCGGGGCGCTGGATTGGATTCTCAGTACCACATAAAAATAAAATAAAGTTGTTGTGTCCACTGAAAACTAAAAAATAAATATTAAAAAAAAAATTCTCTCTCTCTCTCTCAAAAAAGAAAAAAATCAATGTGGCATGGTGGCAATGGTGAACCAAGGAAACAGGCCTGGATTTGCCTCTGCTTGCTTTGTGAGACCTTCAGGAAAGCATTTAATTTTTCAGTTTCTTTGTCATTAAAATAAAGATAGATATGCCTAGCTCTTGTAATATTGTAATAAGAGTTTAAAATGATATGTGCCTAATACAACAGGGATGCACTTTGACAACATCCTGTTAAGAGAAAAGTCAGTCGGCAAGGGTCACATATTGTATGATGATTTTTCTTGAAGTTTTCTATTAAGAATAGGTGTAGAAACAGAAAGTAGATTAGAAGTTGCCAGGGCTGAGGAGAGGGAGAAGTAGAAGGGACCTTTAATGGGTTTCTCTTTTAGGGTGATGTAAATATTTTAAAATTAGATGCTGGTGAAAGTTGCACTATTCCAAATATGCTAAAAGCCACTGAATTGTACACTTTCAAAAGGTGAATATGAGCCAGGCTCAGTGGTGCATGCCTTTAATCCCAGTGGCTCAGGAGGCTGAGGCAGCAGGATCATAACAAAGTTAGCCTCATCAACTTAGGGTCTCATTAAGTTGCTTAGGGCCTTGCTATCTCAAAATAAAAAGGGTTGGAGGTGTGGCTCCATGGTTAAGCACCTCTGGGCTCATCAATCCCTGGTACCAAAAAATTAAAAGGTGAATATAATAGCATGTGGTTTATATTTTCATAAAAGTATTTTTAAAAATCACTGTAACATTAGGAAAAAATGGTATATGTCAGATATTCGTATATAGCACATAGTGGTAGGTACTCAAAAATGTTCTAAATTCCTGGTGTTGGGTGTCTTAAAGAATAGTCATTCTTTAAATAATTGGTTGCCTTTTAGGGAAAACACATTTTCAGTAGGTTTTAATCAGGTTTGGTGGATTTTATTCTCAAATGTTACCCTTTTTGTTAATGGAACTAGGCTTATTTTGGAGAGTTAACTGCTTTTTGGTAAGATTTATTCCTGTATACCAGAGTATAGAAAAGTAATATTCTGGGAGATCATTTAAGTATAACATTTGTGCTTCTGGGTTTGGGGGCATGTTTTTTACTATTTTAGAAGTGTTAGCACATGTTATACTGTATTTTTGTTTATTTACTTGGTTTTGGTAATAACACTTGTGTGCACATTTATTTATTTTGTATTTTTTTACATATATATTTAGCACCACATTATTTTTATGTGGTGCTGAGGATCAAACCCAGTGCCTCACTAGTGCCAGGTGAGCGCTCTACCATTGAGCCATAGCCTCAGCCCCACATTTTATTTATTTAAAGATTTAAGTGAAGTTAAAAAGTACCAGAGAACAGGGGTATATAATTAGTTGTTTTAGAAATCCTTGTAACAGGGCTTTACTTTATGCAGTGAGGTAGCATTGGTGTTCTAATGAAAGACTTATTTCTGCCACATTTATATAATTTTATAAATCTCCATATAACTGGAGGATATTCTGATGCCCTTAAAATCAATATTAGAGACTATTTATTTATTTATTTATTTGTTTATTTATTGCTGGGGACTGACCCAGAATCTCACACATGCCAGGCATTTGCTCTACCACCAAGCTGAACCCCAAGACTGAGTACTATTACTTTAAGGGTATAAGGATAAGCCTTGCAAGTATAAGGTGAGATGAAAGTGAAATTTTCTGTAATGCTTAGAAGTAAATCATTGTATCTAAAAGGGAAATCCAGAACCCTCCTTGTTTGTTGGTAACATTAAATAGAGAAAAGATACTTTGAAATTGGTTTAAAAAAAAATGAAACAAAGATTAAAAGCCTTTGTAGAGATTCTAACCCAGTTGTTGCTGACAGTACACTTTGACCCTGTCGGTTGACCTCACATCTCAGGTTAGTGTCTCTGCCAGGCCATTCAAGGGAGGTGTCCACTGGCACCTGGAAGGAAGGTAGTGACTGACATTGCCAGTAAATTAAAGAATTGCCTCTAATTATCTGCCTCTTTGAACTCCCCAGGAGCTGATTGACTATTTGCGTACACATTCTCACAGTGCAGTGTATGCCACATCTCTGTCACCCCCTGTGGTGGAGCAGATCATCACCTCTATGAAGTGCATCATGGGGCAGGATGGCACTAGCCTTGGTAAGTCTTTTTTTCTTGAAACATTTCCTACACTCAGTGAATATTTAGCAGCCAAATGTGCTCTTTTTTGTTAAGCTTTTTTCCTAAAAATAAGGAGTAAGGTTTCCTGAGGGGCAGAGTTGGCAGGCTTGTGAGGCCTTGGTTTCCATGGGCACTTTTCAGTGTGTTAGATACACAGGCGCTGAGAACTATGGCTCCCTTTCCATGGAATTTTCTGTTTACAGATGGCAAGGCTTTCCTCTCACTGTCCTGCATGCCCTCTTAACTTATGAGCAGCATGCCTTCAGGGTCTTCCTTAAATTGAATAATTTTACGGAAGATAAAATTTACCATGTAATGATGTTTCATTAATAGTTTATGCAAGAACTGCTCTTTCCGTGTATAAGAACCCTTGAGAGTTTCTAATTTAACATGAAATAGATAATGAAGGTAATAATGAATCTATTTATTTTGTCTTTGGTAGAATTTATAGTCCAGACTAGATACCTTGACTTGAACACTGAAATCAAGTATTACATTCACTTTCTGACATTTGACTTTTATTTTGTGTCACCAGAGGGCAGTATTGACTACAGACTAGTTATAATAAAATTGAGTTTTTGTTGTTTTTACTTTAAAAAGTATTTCTATTGCCAGTGTAAGATATACATTTAATTTTACTTGTTACTTTTTTTGCTTTTACAAGAATGACTTTAATAAAAGATTTTTTATTATTAGCCTTGAGCTCTTCACTCTATAGCTATATAATACTTTAAGATTGAAATATTTGTGCTTAAAAACAAGAACAAAGGGGTCCATCTGATTTTGATTAAAGTTGTTTTCTGAAATCAAAATTTTGCCTTAATATTTTTTCTATCAGTTATAGATCCTTGTTTCTAGGGAAAGATTTTTGGAAATAGTAAATTGTGATCATTTTTAATTTTATGAATTTGTTTCTTCAGGAAGAAAATATTTCAGAAATATTGCACACATAGCATTAGGGCCTCATGAGTACCAATAGCTACAATTTACTTTCCTCTTTCTGATGTGGTATTATTGAAAAGAGAATGCTTTGCTCTGAGAGAGAAGAGAGTGAGAAGGAGACAGACACATTAGCATTTCTTGAGTGACTTCATGAGGTATGTTCACCTTATTGGTATAGGGCACAAACTTGGGTGGTTAGGAAAGGACTGACATCTTTCAAAGTTAATATTGAGTCAGTACTTTGTCCTTTGCTAGAGCATGAATCTTGTGCCATACTACTTCTGGATAAATGACTTGTATGTACTAACCAATGACATCTCATGAAAAAATTAAGTATGGTGATTAGAAAAAGACTTGGGGCAGCACTTGTTTCCAGTTCTTTCTCTCCAGCCACCCCAAAGCTTAGTGGTGCAACACAACAACCAGTTATTTATGCTCAGATTCTGTGGGTCAGGAATTTGGTCAGGGCACAGCAGGGACGGCTTGTCTTTGCTGCGGAGTGTCTGGGACTAGCTTGGAAGACTCAAATACTGGAAGACTTAGATGACTTGGGACTGGGATCATCTGGTAGCTTCTTCACAGGACACCTGGGCTAGACTGACCTAGGCTAAGACAGGCTTAGCCATGATGTGACCGGAGTACCTTTATGATTCCTTTCCATGATATCATGACTGGGTAACAGTTTGTGAAAGGACACTTTAGAGAGCAGGCATTCCAAAGAACCTGGCTGAAACTCCATGACCTCTTCTGATTAGTTGTTAAATAAGCTCATTCATGACTAAGGTCAGGCCAGAATGAAGGGCATGGAGTATTAACCTGCACTTCCCCAACTCGAGGCATGTCAAAGAATTTGTGGCCATTTTAAAAACTTTTCCTATCAGCTTCCCCCACCGCCTTTATTTTATATATTTATTTATTTTTATGTGGTACTGAGGATCAAACCCAATGCCTCACATGTGCTAGGCAAGTGCTCTGCCACTGAGCTATAACCCCAGCCCCACTACCAACTTTTAAATAATTTATTTTAAAATTTATTCCCTGAAATGTTTAATTAGCATGATAACTTCTATTCATTGTTTCTCTGTCAAAACAGAGGTCAATAAAAATAAAAAAGTAGAGATAAATACCTTTTCTCCATAGCCTGCTATTGGATCTTAATTAAACTTGACCTGACTTCTTTTATCTGTGTATGTGTTAAGATGATATTTATTTTTATGACATTTTGAGTGCATCTTTTTATTGTCCTTGTAGAAAAAAAGCTCTGAACCCCGACAGTAGTCTTCTGATTGTGCCTTAAGGTGATCTTTCTAAAGAGAGACCTGCAGTTGGTTACCTGAGGGTGATTCTTTTTGTAATAGAAATGTCCTGCATCCCTTATGTTCAAGATGTTGAATTCATTAATTCTAAAAACATCAAGTTTCTTACTGCATGTTAGACTCTGAATCAGAATTCACAGAAATGGGAATACACTCAGACTATTTGAATTAAAGTATATACTTGAGCAGTATTGTGGGTGCAAAGAATGATTGGTAGTTGTGTGAGTACCAGAGAACACTGTAGTATAGAATGATTGAAGCTTTATTAATTAAGATATTTAAGTGCCTGCATTGTGCTAGGTGCTATCCAGGCACCTGTATTCATCAAAGGATAAAACATCCCCAAATTTCTGGGTTTTCTTTTGTGGGTGGAGGTCTGTGAATTACATAATGCTAGAAAGTGGTAAGAACTGACAGGTAGATAAGCAGGGAAGTAGGGGTTAAGAAGCTGGGGACTCACTTTGTCATTTTAAAGAGGGTAGTGGTTGTGGATTTTAGCAAGGATTTGAAGAAGGTGAGGATTTAGACATGAAAACCCAGGGGCAGAAGTTCCCTGAAATGGAGGCAACTCTGTGTTCAAGGAGTAGCAAGGTGGCCACTGTGGCCAGGGCAGATCTGTGTGAGGCAAAGAGTGGTCAAGGTTGGAATCATGAGGCCAGAGGCTGGGGTGGAGATTCTCATGGAAGGCAGTCTTGTCAGGGTACGAGGTTTACAGGGCAAAAACCACAGGCACTCGCTAGTTCCCTTGTCCTGTGTAGTATCAGATTCAAATTCTTGAATAGTTTCTGTGATCTGCTCAATATTGGTAGACTTGTGCCTGTTTCAGATAGGTTAAGAATTTCATTGGTCCTTCAAATTTCATGAAACGTACAGGAAATAACATGCCTTGTGCTGGTATTTTAATAATGATAGCATTTCACCTTTTATCTCACCTTTTTTAAAAAAATATTTTTTTTTGTTTTAGGTGAACATGGTATCTTTATTTTATTTTTATATGGTGCTGAGGATCAAACCCAATGCCTCATGCATGCTAGGCGAGCACTCTACACTGAGCCACAGCCCCAGACCCTTATTTCACCTTTTAAAAAGAAATCAAAAGATATATGAAACTTTTCAGCTATCTTTTCCTGATCCTGTGTCTCCCACCCACTCCCTAGAAGACAGTCGCTGTCCTGCAGTTGTCTCCCTCAGTGCTTTCATACTTTAGGGAGTGTGTTTGCCCATAAATAGCATATGGAGTACGTGTTCCCCGTTCTGGAGGACTCACTCTACTTGCTGTAATATCTCACAGAAATGTTTATGAGATTTAAGTGTATGAATGAAAACCCCATGTCATAAGTCTCCCTTGGCAGGCTACCCAAAGTGCTGAGCGTGAGTCTGGGGAAGCTGCTGCAGGATGTGTATTACTCATGAGGCTCTTTTCCTGAGGGGGGGGGGTGTCTTCTGTCTGCTAGAGTTGTTTGACTATGTTGTGTTTTATCCTGGTCATCTTCCCACATTATGACAAAAAATTTCCCATGATGTGTATAAAAGCTATGAAGAAAGTAGGTAAGCCCACGTACCTAAAGACATCTCTGAGTGAGAGGGAAATGGAGAAACAGTTGAATGCGTAAGTGGGAAACGTAGTGGAGTCCTTACTGTGCAGTATCACTGATGAAGACACACAAGTGTATTCAGTTTTTTTGGGGGGGGAGGATAAAAGGGTGTGAGTAGCATTTTTAATACTTTAAAAAATTTTTTTTAGTTGTAGATGGACACAATACCTTTATTTTATTTATTTATTTTAATGTGATGTTAAGAATCGAACCCAGTGCCTCACACATGCCAGGCAAGTGCACTATGGCTGAACCCCAGCCCCTATTAGAGCTATTTTTAAATGTTACATAATACTGCAACAGTGATCTTTGTAGTGTCTTCTTTGTGAGATTCTTTAGAGTGTATGTACCTTGCAGTGATTTTGGTAGACATCTTTAAAGACTTCTAAATTCTTTCCACTAGCTTCTATACATTTCAAGTTTCCCCACCCACTATCAGTATGTTACCAGAGTTAGTGAAGCACCAATAGGTACTGTCTTAAGTTTATGAACAAATTTCGAGGTTTAAGAAAAACTTTCTAAATTTACAAAGGTAACTATCCACTAGAAGAATTAAAAATAGTAATATTACAAAAATGATGGTGATTCATGGAGGAAAGGTGGAATGTGGAGAAGTATGAAGGCCTCAGACATAATCTAGGATTGATGACATAGGAAGCAGAGGTCTTTTCAACACTGGTGCCAACTACCAGAAAAGCCCGACATAGACTTCCTGGGAGTGGGATGGAGGTGGCTAGTGTTCAGGGAGAAATGTTTATTATTATTTAGTAATATTCTATGCTATTAAAACTTTGCCATGCAAATATATTACATTTATTATTTTATCAAAACTTTTTTATTGTTAGACTGCAGAAAGTATATTAAACGCTTAAGTGGAGGGTTGGGGCTGTGGCTCGGTGACAGAGAACTTGCCTTGCACATGTGAGGCACTGGGTTCGATCCTCAGCACCACATAAAAATAAATAAACCAAATAAAGGTATTGTGTCCATGTATAACTAAAAAAATATTTTTAAAAAACTTAAGTGGAAATAAAGCCTGCTTAAAATAATGTTAAATAAGGCTTAAATATTGGGGCTGGGGATGTGGCTCAAGTGGTAGCGCGCTCGCCTGGCATGCTTGCGGCCC